CAGACAGATCCTTAAAAACCTAAGTTGGCTCATTTCCTTATCTGCTCAAAACTCTTCAAAGGCTCTCCATTTCCTTAAAAGAAAAATCTAAAATTTACACTGCCTATAAGGCCCTACACAGCCGGGCTCGGTGGCTCAGCCTGTAATCCCGCGCCTTTGGGAGGCTGAGGTGAGTGGATTGCCTGAGCCCGCGGGTTCGAGACCCGCCTGGGCAGCGAGACCTCATCTCTACAATAAATCAAAAAATCAAGCCAGGTGTGGTAGCGCATGCCTGTAATTCCGGCTACTTGGAAGGCAGAGGCGGAAGGATCGCCGGAGCCCAGCAGGTCGAGGCTACGGTGGCTGGGAGCAGCCACTGCACTCCAGTCTGGGTGACAGAGTGAGACTCCAACTCAAAACAAACAAACAAACAAAGGCCCTACACGATTTGCTCTCCAAGTCCATTCCAATAATCTCATCTCCTGTCTTCCTACTGACTTATTTGCTTCCAGCCAGATGTTGCTGTGCTCCTTTTTCAGAGCATGCTTCCACTTTAGCATTAGTTATTCTGTCTTCCTGAAAAGCTCCTAGCCAATATCCACAGGGTAACTCTACTCCGTCATGTCTTCGCATAAATATCACCTGCTCAATGAGGCCTACCGCGAGTTCCCTGTTTAAAATTAGAAGGCAACCAGGCGTAGTGGTCATGCCTGTAATCCCACTACTTTGGGAGGCAGAGGTAAGAGGCTTGCCTGAGCCCAGGGGCTCGAGACCAACCTGGGCAGCTTTCGTGAGAGCTTGTCTCTACAATAAATTAAAAAATCAGCCCGGTGTGGTGGTGCACTCCTATGGTTCCAGCTACTTGGAAGGCTGAGATGGAAGGATCACCTGAGCCCAACAGGTCGAGGCCACAGTGGCCACGAGCGTGCCACTGTATTCCAGTCTGGGCAACAGAGTTAAACTCCGACTCAAAAAAAAAAAAAAAAGATCCACACCCACTCTCCCTTACTCTGTTCCCTGTTTTCAATAGCATGCCTTACACACTTTGTATTTATTATTGTTTGTCTTTCCTGTAGGAATGCAAGCTCCATAAGGGATTTTGTCTTGTACCTGGCACATAGTCAGCATTTAACAAATATTTGTTGAATGAATGCAGGATTTACCATCAGATGACCTGTATTCATAACCTTGTTCTGCCACTAGCTAGTTGTGTCATTTGTAGACATAATTTCACTTTGCTGACCCTCTGTTTCCCTTATCTGTAAAATGGGATAGTTCTAGAGTTGCTATGAGGATAAAATGTGTTATGACTTAACTCATTTGATAAAGTGTAGGAGGAAAATTTTAGCTTCTTATATATTCATTTAAGATGTATTTGAATAATTGTGCTATAGCAAAAAATTTGTAATGAAAGATTTTAGGGCAGGTGTGTTTCCCCCTAGCTGTACTCTTTTCGTGTGACCAAGTTAAGTGAAACTAAAATTTCCAATGAGTTTATCTGGACCATATATGACCAACACACAGTTAGCTATATGTGATCTCAAGTTCTGTTTCCTAAACTTTCACCCAACAAGGCTGGACTAAGTTTGGAGCTCTAATATTCCTGTCCTGTGTCTAATTTTGTTTTAGTAGTGTCTCTTTGAACAGTTAATTATAAAGCCATCTTTTCAAGTCACTGTTAGCAGAAACTATTCCCAAACAGGAGCTTTGTAAAAATTTCTGGGCCTTACTACAGTCCTACTGGATCAGAACTTACAGAAGTGGGACCCATAAATTTATATTTTGTTTTAAGACCTCCTATTGCCTCTGTGATCAGCCCAGTTTGAAAACTGCTGAAGTTATTGCTAGGATTCCTTTTTTTTGAGAGTCTCACACTGTAACCCAGGCTGAAGTGCAGTGGTGCAATCAAAGCTCGCTGTAGCCTTAACCGCCTAGATGCAAGTGATCCTCCTGCCTCAGCCTCCCAAGTAGCTGTGACTATAGGTGTGTATCATCATATCCAGCTAATTTTTAAATTATTTTTTTTTGTAGAAACAGAGTTAAGATTCCATTGGATTATGTTGCTCTTAGCATTGTGCTTAGTACCCTGTGCACATGACTGGTGTTAATCTTTGCAACAATCTTCTGGGGTGGTACAGTACTGCATTAGTTTTCCTGTCTTACCAATAAGAAAACTCACAGAAAGTTTAAATAATTTGACCAAGTTTCTTAGCCAATAAAAGATGGTTTCAGAATTGAAATCTAGGAGCAAGTTCAAAGCCAAAGGGCCCCACTGTACTATACATTCCCTTCCATACCCCAAGTCTATCTCCCTCTAAATGCACTTTTCCTAGTATATACATAGTCACAAGGTACATTTACAAGGATGTCCTTGCTGTAATTACATAAATATCATCTCTAATTGTAGTACATCAATATAACGGAATACCATGAAGCCATTACAAAAGGATGTATATCTATATTTATTGGTATTGCCGGGCTTGGTGGCTCAGCCTGTAATCCTGCGCCTTTGGGAGGCTGAGGTGAGTGGATTGCCTGAGCCTGTGGGTTTGAGACCCGCTTGGGTAACTTGGCGAAATCTCATCTCTACAATAAATTAAAAAAAAAAAATTAGCCGGGCTTGGTAGCGCGCCTGTAGTTCCAGCTATTTGGAAGGCTGAGGCGGAAGGATCGCCGGAACCCAGCAGGTCGAGGCTGCGGTGGCCAGGAGCGGCCACTGCACTCCAGTCTGGGTGACAGAGTGAGACTCCAACTCAAAAAAAAAAAAAAAAAAGACAACATTTATTGGTATTGAAAAATATCCACAAAGCAAAGTGAAAAAGCAAATCCAAAGAAGTCATTCTATTTGAGTGAGGACTCAAGGTACTTTTCACTTCTGAGTTCACTGGGGCACAGTCAGAGTTCAGACTGGAATTCAACATGCTGCTTTGGAGAGCCATTCCAAACAACAGGGAGACTGTGAAGACATGGCTCAAGGTGGAACAAGGCTGTCCAGGAAGATCTGGGGGCCTAGGACTGGAACTCTGGATCTGATGGGAGCATAGAGAAAAGCACGCAAATATGGTTATGACCACAAGAAGGCAGTAGAGACCCATCCTTAACTGCCTGAGCCAGAAGGGGCTACTACACCCAAGGTGTGTCAGCTCAGGCACAATGTGTCAGGCTCAATGAGAAGCGCAGGCAGAGGAAAGCCCTGGGTTCGTATCATGGCTCTGCTCTCACTGGGGGGGATGGCCTTGTGCATGTGGCTTCTTGTCTCAAAACCACCCTCCCCACCTGAAAATGCCGTCAGCATACCCAGGTGCATATGCCAAGGGCAGGGCCTGCCCCACACAGGACCTAATAATACCGCTACCCAGCCTTCCCTCACCAATTGCTCAGGAAAGAGTAAAGCCCATGTGGCAGCCAGGTTGGACCTGCGACCACAGGCAAGGACCACGGATTCCATCTCCAGGGATTTTGGACTCCAGGGAACATTCATGATTTACCTGCAATCTGGTGATCCTTCTGAGTCTGTAGAGGGCTTGATCTCTCTGCTGGGACCACTAGGTTGTTATCTCAGACCACCAAGAAACGGCACTAGCACAGGTGAAAATAATGGCAAACTTTATTGGCGTAAATCATAGGAGTTGAAATGGGAAAAGCCAGAAGTTTACAGAGGAAAAAAAAATCAAAATCAAATTATCAAATAACCATTGACCCAGAGGGTGGACCCCAGAAAACCCAGTTCCCCTTGGGGAGGGGCCTGGGGCAGGTCACTGTAAACAGAGCAATAAGGCCTGTGGGTGGAAGTGGAGACATCAGACTTTTGGAGGGGCCAGGCTGACATCCCCACACCTGGACTGTGCCCTACCCGCCACAAAGAAGGGCTCCTCTTCTGAGACTCCAACACACTCAGTCTCTGCCAGGAAGCAGTGGGGCAGTCTGGATCTTCCTCACATTACAGACCCCTGGGGGAATCCCTGTCCCTTGACCAAAGACCCCCAGCCTGGCTGCTCCTGCTTCATCCTTGGGAAAGAGAGCTCTGGAGATTTCCCCAGAGGATCCTGCCCCTCTGCCCAAAATTCTTTCAGGCCCCCTTGTAACACAACCTGGGGCCTTGTCTCCAGACCTCCTGAGTGCTGATCCCACCTGTAAAAGGGGAAGAACCTGTACCTGGTCTCCAGGGAGGGCAGATTTGTGGAAGTGATATGCTCAGTGGAATCAACAAGACCAAAGAGACTTTCATAGTCCTTATGGTCAAAATCAGATACCAGCTTTCCTGAGAAGGCAGAAGAGAGAGTCACAGAGAAGCGGTGAGGAGGCTGAGAATGTTCAGTGGGTTCTCTGTTGCCAAAAAATTCATCAGGGAGTGGAAGTTCCTAATGGCTTACTCAGACAAGAAGCAGTCCTCCAAAGTGTACTTTCCCCTTTTCCTCCCTCGGCAACAAAAGAGATGAGGTTCAGAATTCTAGACCCAAAAGGGCAAGACACCCTTAGACCAATTTCAGTTAACAGCTTGCTGGCCTGGGCAGTAAGGAAGGGGTTTTCAAGGAAGGGGTTTTCAAATACAGCAGTTTATAAAACAGTCCTGGTGAGCTGTGAAGTTAAAGAAGGGGAGTCACAGAGCTGCTCCCATTCACCTGCTTGTGCTAAGAAAAAATAAAATACAAATCGCTTCCCCACCCCAAGTCCTCAGTACAAAGCAAACTCCATGCCAAGACCACTGTCACTGACAGGCCCAGTGGCGGCAGCCAAGAAGAATACAAAAAGGAACATCTTTAAAATCTCTTCAAAATCATTTTGTATAGAGAAGTAAAAGCAACTCAGGCGATATGAATTCAATCCTCAGTGTAGAAATCTATCAAAGTCGGTACAGTGTCCAGGCACAGGTGATACTCCCCACTTCATGCCGTCCCCAAGACGGAGGAAGTGACTATAAAACATTATTGCTGGAGAGGCCTCTCTCAGTAGAACCAGAGCAGGTGTAAAGGCGAGGGGAGGGTGAAAGGGAGGAGGGCATTTGCCCAGGCCTGGGGGGCTGGAAGGATAGGAGGAGCACAGGGAACCTTCCGTGGCCCCTTGGGGTCTCTGCCCTTGGATGGATGGGTTTATGCTGGCATTGTCTGGAGGGAGCTAGTGTCCCTCAATACTCTAAGAACAGGGACAATTAAGTTGGGGGAAAAATGGGATAAAAAGAGACCCCTGCCTGCTCTCCCCCTCCCCCAACTCCACTGCTGAAATATGAGTAAGAGATGGCTCCAGTGTGGGGTGCTGGCCTGGCCAGGCCAGATCACGAGGACACATGTGGGGTGGAGTGGGGCCCCCAGCCGCCACCTCTGGGGAGGACAAAGGATGAACAGCCTGGGGAGAGCTGCAGGAGGAGAGAGGCCCAGAGGCTCTGGCAGGGGTGAAGACAAGCAGACAGGGTCCCTCATGGCCCTCTTCCCATCCTGTCCCAGCCGAGGACAAGGGTTCCAGTTTCACTCAGATTTGCCCCTTCGCCCCCGAGTGGGGTCTCTGGGTCACAGTAGCAGTTGGGGATGCTGGCTGGGGAAGAGGGGCAGAGGCAGGGACAGGGGCGCCTAGCAGAAGAGCTTGAGGAAGCAGTTCTGACAGTAAGGCTTGTCGTTCTGCTCCTTGAAGGTGCCCTTGTTGAGCTGCTTGAGGCAGAAGGCACAGACGAAGTGCTCGGGGTGAAACTTCTTGGCCATGGCGGTGATGCAGCGGCCCGTGATGGGTTTCTGGCAGCCCGAACACAAAGAGCCGCGCCGTTCATGGTAGTGCACCTCACAGTAGGGCTGCCCATCGTGTTCAAAGAAGCTACCATTAACGAACGGTGTGAAGCATTCCTGCCAGGTGGAAAGGGGGGACTCAGGGGGCTGTCCCTTCCAGCTAGGGCAGCACCCAGCATGGCAGGCTGGAGATGAGAGATGGTCGTGGTTGGCATACACATTGACTCCCACTTGCTAGACATTTCCTATGGGCTAACTGCTGTACTAAACACTTATGTCATTCTAACAGGGAGGCCACTAAGATACACAAGTTAAGTGACTAGCCCAGGGTCGTGAAGCTACTAAGTTGCACAGCCTGGATTCATACATAGGTCTGACTTCTAGGAACTTAATCAGATGAATGCAAAAGTGTTCCCAAAAACATTGGTGCTGAAAAAAAGGGGTCTGTGGTCAAGTTCTGCAGCCTAGATTTTTTTTTTTTTTTTTTGGAGTCGGAGTCTCACTCTGCTGCCCAGGCTGGAGTGCAGTGGCACGCTCACAGTCACCATGACCTGCTGGGCTCAGGTGATCCTTCCACCTCAGTTTTCCAAGTAGCTGGAACCACAGGCACGTGCCATCAGGCACAGCTAATTTTTTGATTTATTGTAGAGACAAGGTCTTGTCAAGTTGCCCAGATTGCTCTCGAACCCCTGGACTCAGCCTAGATTCTTGGTTGGAGATTCATGTGCATATAAAAGCCTCTGAGAAGTCCTGCAGTGAGCCATGTTTCCCAAACTTATTTGGTCAGAGGGCCCTTTCTGAATTCCTAATAATATCTGTGGGCCCCCTGTTACTCCCCAGAATTAAGTTTGGAAACCAATACCCTTGAGTCTGCTAAGTACTTGTATTATCTCATTTAATTCTCTCACACTCTTCTCCCGAATATGACCAGTTTCAGGGTTGATGCACAGGACTAGGCTGGTCTACCTCACTCCTGGTTCATCTCAGCTTGAATACAAACCTGGCCCAGGACCTATTGGACTTGAAGACACATACCTACTGCCTGCTCACCCTGTTAATGACCCCAAACAAAGCCTCCAAGCTGGATCGAAAGAGCACAGTGAAAGAGGCCCCTCTCTCTCCAATGTCTGCTCCCAGCCGCCTCCAGATGTGGAGGGAGGCTCCTTACCCGGCACACAAAGCACTCAGGATGCCAAAGCGTGTTGAGGGCCGAGATGTAGTTCTCCAGGATGGCCCGGGCACAGCCACCACACTTGGGTGCGAACATGTCGAAGTAATCCTTGCGGCAGTAGGCCTTGCCATCTTTCTCGTGGAACCCTGAGGAGTAGGACCTTGGGGGTCAGAGTTTGGGTTTCCAGAAGTGAAGCCACCCTGACTCCACCAGCAGCGTCTCCCACCCCACCTTCCCAGCCCTCCCAGGAGGTGGCGCATTGGTCCACCGGCCATACCTTCAGGACCAAAAAAGGCTCCACACTGGGCACAGAAGAAGTGCTCAGGGTGCCATGTCCGGTCAAGGGCTGTTACCACTTTCTGTGAAAGCAAAGTGTGGGATCAAAACCAAGCTGCCACCCCACTTGACAGATCCCAGCATGGCTGTCCCTCCCATCCCCACCTCTGCCCACTGTCAAAGATGAGCAAAACACTCCCAAGATCAGGGACTCTCCTAATTGAGCTATGAATACCACTAAGAACTTAGATTTATTGAGGGACATGACATGCCAGACACACTCTTCTCCTTTAATCCTCACACCACACTGAGTCAAGGTCATAAGTTCTATTGTGACTCCATTTTATAAGTGAAAAAGCTGAGGCTCAGAGAAGCTAGGCATTTCCCTAGCATCACACAGTGGGATAGTAAGACAGCCAGCATTTAACTTGACAGTCTCAAAAGAAGGAAATCAATATGGAAGGAGAAAAGAAGGAGGGACAGTCCGATGTGCAATGGGATAGGCTATAGATCAGGCCTGGATTTGAATCTAGCCCCACTGTTTCCTAGCTGTGTGAGCCTCAGGCATGTAACATGACCTCTCTGAGCCTCCGATGGCTATGGTGAAGATGAAATGAGCCAATGTGGGTGAGGTGCCTGGATAAGGAACCATACTGCAGGGACTCACATCCAGGATGGGACCATTGCAGTAGTAGCAGCGTGGAGAGAAGAGGTTGTGGTAGTCCTTTTCACAATAGGGCTGTCCATCCCGCTCAAAGAAGTTCCGGGATCCAATCTCCTCCTGGCAGTGGGTGCAGACAAAGTGCTCCGGGTGCCACGTCTTTCCCATGGCGGTCACAACCTGATAAGAAAGACGAAATATGGTGCAGGGTCGAGGTCAGCCACAGAGCATCCCCAGAGGAGCAGAAATCCCCACGCTCACCAGCTGCTCCGCCCCTCCTCCCCTCATCACCTGCCCGGCGATGGGCTTCTTGCAGGCCCCACAGACCCCTTTGGCAACTGTGGCGACACCCAGTTTGTTCAGGTCGGACTGCAGGCTCCCCAGCATGCTGTCGAGCTGGCTCCCAGGCTTTGGCGGACCCCCAGGGGGTGAGCTGCTCCCTGTTTTTCCTTGGGCCATGAACTGTGGAGACAAGGAGAGGGGACTGGTCAGGACTTGTGAGGCTCAGGGTACGGTGTCGCAGCACCAGGGCAGGGAGATGGTGGGGTGGGAAGACTTTTCTCCCTCCTGGGCAAATGGGCTGATTGAGGCAAGAAGTACAACCTCCACCAGGGGCCTGAAGAGCCCTAAAATTGGGAGTGAGATCAGCAGGACCTCCTGGTGGTCAGAGGGACCACAGAGGATTAGAGAGAAAGGCTCCCAGTACCCTGCTGGCATGACCAGGCTCAGGGAAAGCATAACACACAGGAAACTAAGCCTGCAACCCTTAGCACTGACCCCTCCCTCGTCCTGCCCTCCAGGGCTGCTCTGCCCATCATCCGGAGGCCAGCCGGCAGCCCAGCACAGCTCCTTATCCGCTTTTTGTTCCAGGCCCTGGATCTTAAATAAAGGAAGAGACAAGAAAGAATTTTTTTTTAATTGTGGAAGAAAGACTAAGAGACTCTGTCACTGGACCATTTCACAGAAGGGAATTTCAGGTGAGATAAGAGGATTTTTTCCCCCACTGGTAGTACCAAAATCAGGAGAAAAAAATCTAGAGAAAAACAGCCTTGAGAGAGGTCCAGGGAGATTTAAGAGGGAGAGGGAGGTGAGGACACAGGAAGGGGAGGTAACTGGGGTCAGAAAGCAAGGAGGCCTCACCAGGTGCTGGGCCTAGGGACTTCAAGGGGAGGAGAGAGGTTTCTGCTTTCTCTTCTGGGAATGGCTTCCTTGGATAGGAGCCTGGACCTGGGGCAGTCCCAAGGGGTAGTCAGGGAACAGGGGAATGGCAGGGAGACACCACAGGAAAGCATAAGGGCAGTTGACTTCCTGAAAAGGTGTGGGAGAGGGTCCTGGGATCAGGTTCAGTGAGGGTCCAGGGTCAGGGAAGGACTGTGATTCCTGTGTTTGCGTCTGTGGTTGGAGGGATAGAGGGTGTGTGTGTGTGTGTGTGTGTGTGTGTGTGTGTGTGTGTGTGTGTGCGCGCGCGCGCGCGCGCACGTCTCTTTGTGTGTCTATGTATGTGTGCAACAGTATTAGGACAGGATAAGAATGGCCAGCACTGGGGCCCTTGGGAGGCCTGCCTGCATTGGGGGGAAGAGCGGGTCCTCGTCGGTCTGGCAGCCCACGGACCTCACGGTGTGGGGTGCAGGAGTGGGAGGGGTGAGGCCCTGCACATCCTCATCATAGGGTACTTCCCCTGCACTCCGGACCCCAGGAGAAGCACCGGTACAAGCTGAGGGTCCCAGGAGGGAGGGAGCAAGCAGGCTGGGCAGAGGAGAAGAACTGCTGGCCGAAGCATCTTTGTGAGGCTGGAACAAAGGAACAGAAGGAGGAGAAGCCAGGACAGAGATGGTTCTTCTCAAGGGAATGGGAGAGCCAGGAGGGAAGACAACCTGGGAAGAAGAAAGGAAGAAGAGAGATGAGGAAGATGGAAGAAATTATCAACTCACCCGACAGGGGTGGGGGGAGGGGCACCCCAGGCTCCCCATGGGCCTTCCCACTCTGGCACCAAGAGTGAGGCCAGCCCCATAAGGCCACAAGACGCAAGAACCACCCCACCACCCTAAATCTCCCCTCCAGCCAGCGTTGAGGCCAGGAAAGAACCTGGACCTCTGCTGCCTGGTCCTGTCCCAGCCCCAGCCCTTGGCATCTCCCTGCCACCTTGTCCACAATCTGCCCCCCGGCCCGCCTCCCATGTGGCTGCACAGTGATGACGATGCCCTCAGTCAGCCAGTCCTGGGCAGAGGCCTCTGCTGCCTCCTCCGCCTCCAGCTGGAGGCCCAGCCGACCCTGCAGCTCCGCGATGAGCCGCTCCTGGGATGGGGTCCTGCTCAGGGTGGCAGGGTCCAGCCGGCGGCGAGGGGAGGGCTCCCGGGACATGGGGTGTGCGTGGCCAGTCTCCCGGCTCCTCCTGATCACAGAGCGGATCTGGGGGAAGGGGAGGGAAGGCTGTCACAGCCCCACTCTGGGCTTGGATATGACACTGTTCAGTCCACACTCAGGTGCCCCCAGGGAGGGAGGGCAGAACAAAACCACCAGAGAAGAGCCAAGCTGAGGTGGGGTGGAAGCAGGGGCAGACCAGAGTGGCTAGGGAACACAGGCCACGAGAGAGACCTCTGGCCTAGTGCTCACCTCCAAGTTGGCCGCTGACCTTGGGCAAGACACTGAACGTCATAGGCCTCAGCTTCTCCATCCTTTTTTTTTTTTTGAGTTGGAGTCTCACTCTGTTGCCCAGACCGGAGTGCAGTGGCCACTCCCGGCCACTGCAGCCTCGACCTGCTGGGCTCCGGCAATCCTTCCACCTCAGCCTTCTGAGTAGCCAGAATTACAGGCACGGGCTACCATGCCCGGCTGATTTTTTTATTTTATTGTAGAGATGAGGTCTCGCCAAGTTGCCCAGGCAGGTCTC